TTGGTTTTTGAACCCTAAACCCTAAACCCTAAATCCTAAACCTTAAACCCTAAGCCCTAAACCCTAAACCCTAAATCCTAAACCTTAAACCCTAATCCCTAAACCCTAAAACCCCAAAGCCCTAAACATCAGGGCGCCCTGTGATTTATTTCCAGACAAGACCAGGACCGAGCTGTCAAACCCTGTACCCCGGGCTTCCATGTCATAGTCTAGGAAAGTTTCGTCTAGCATACCATAGTACAGTACATGGTACTGTATAGTCAAGTAGGGCAGAGTATAGTATAGTAGAAAAGGGTACGGTTGATGATATAAATTCTGCATTACCCATACACTAAGGAATCCAAATCCCATAGTTTAGGGTCCTTGATGTAATGCAGGATTTCTATCATCACCAGTTGTGTAATATAGTTCGTCCTAAACCCAAAAACCCGCCCGGGCTGCTCACCCCTAAACCCTAAACCCTAAATCCTGAACCTAAACCCTAAATCCTAAACCTAAACCCTAAATCATAAACCCTAAACCCTAAATCCTAAACCTAAACCCTAAAACAAGAACCCTAAACCCTAAATCCTAAACCCTGAACCCTAAACCTAAAACCTACCCTGGCTCTTAAGCCCTTGATCTGACTAGGGACTCTGAGCTGCTCTCAATGCCTGATCATGAGCCCGAGACCCCAAATGGGGGTTTCCAAAAATTAGGGGTTTAGGGGTTTAGGGTTTAGGGGTTTAGGGGTTTAGGGGTTTAGGGGGTTAGGTTTAGGATTTAGGGTTTAGGGTTTAGGGTTCAAAAATTAGGGTACCTTATTTTGGGTTTCCCCATGGCTCCAAGTATACAAATAGCACCTACTTTGGGGTCTAAAGTCTATAAGGGAGTTTCCAAAAATTAGGGTACCTTATTTTGGGGTCCTTTTAATAACGATCCTATTATTTAGGGTACTATATTGGGTCTCCTATTTTCGGAGACCCCAAATCGCCTGTGCGAGCCCTACGTCCTGAACTGTCCTGAACTTGAACTTGGGGTTTAGGGTTTAGGGTCCTGAACTTGGGGTTTAGCGTTTAGGGTCCTGAACTTGGGGTTTAGGGTTTAGGGTCCTGAACTTGGGGTTTACGGTTTCGGGTTCTGAACTTGGGGTTTACGGTTTAGGGTCCTGATCTTGGGGTTTAGGGTTTAGGGTCCTGAACTTTGGGTTTAGGGTTTAGGGTCCTGGACTTTGGGTTTAGGGTTAAGGGTCCTGAACTTGAGGTTTACGGTTTAGGGTCCTGAACTTGGGGTTTAGGGTTTCGGGTCCTGAACTTTGGGTTTAGTGTTTAGGGTCCTGAACTTTGGGTTTAGGGTTTAGGGTCCTGAACTTTGGGTTTACGGTGTAGGGTCCTGAACTTGGGGTTTAGGGTTTAGGGTCCTGAACTTGGGGTTTACGGCTTCGGGTCCTGAACTTGGGGTTTAGGGCTTCGGGTCCTGAACTTGGGGTTTAGGGTTTAGGGTCCTCAACTTAGGGTTTAGGGTTTATAGGCCCCTAAACCCTAAACCCTAAACCCTAAACCCTAACCTGCGAAGGCCTGAGATGTCCGACAAGTGATGTTGCGCTGTAGTCTTGCCTGGTGGCTTCAGAGACATCACGGCTCAGGCTCACGCGGAGCCGTGTTTAGGGTTTAGGCGCTTAGGGTTTAGGGTTTAGGGTTTGGGTTAGAATCCTGAACCGGCTGAGGGCCTTAGTCCACGCCGTGAGCTTTGTCACCGCCAGGTATGACTTCTCACACGTTTGAACTTCAATTTGAACATCAGAGTTTGAAGTTTCGCCATATCTTGTTGACCTCCGAATCGTTAGCTTCTGACTCATTTCAGCATAAAGCTGTGACCTACCTCCACGATGTATGATGAGTCGTCTGAATGACTGTCGGACACTTCTGTCCCACTTCTCGGCAAAGCGTCGGCGGTGTGTCCACACGCTGCCGATACCATGCTGGGGGTGTGTTGTTCAATTGTGCGCTAGCGCTGCACCTGTGATGGCAGCGGCAAAACTTCGTCTTTCATTCCCCAGGTCTCCAAGTATACAAATAGCACCTACTTTGGGGTCTAAAGTCTATAAATAGTACCTACTTTGGGCTATTTGGAGCTCCAGGGATTCTCTTCACAATGCATGGGAAGCGTGCTTCCCGGGAGGCTGCAGCCGGAGTCCGATCCACCCCGAGCCCCAACAGCGTAAATCTTCCAAAATCCCTTAATTAAGGAAGGCACCTTAAACTATAGTAGGGCCCCTAATGTGATTTCAAGTCTTCCCCAAAACCCTAATCTAGGACATTTTGGGCAGTTACCATTGTAGGAGCCTTATAGAAAGTCTCTAAACCTTATAGAAGCCTTATAGGAGCCCTATAATACCCTAAACTCCCCACCTGTAGTACCCTAGATCCCAGATCTTACACCGAAGTCTCTAGACTCTAGACCCTAAACCCTAAACCCTAAACTATATACCCTAAGCTCCCCACCTGTAGTTTCCTTAACCTCACCACCAGCTCACTGGACTCTCGGCTTCAGTATCTCCCTGCACCCAGGCAGCCCGAGGCTGGGCCTCCTAGCCAGGTGCAAACGAAATGTTTGGTACATCGGAGGTTTCCGAAAATGGGGGACCCTAATATAGTACCCTAAATAATAGGATCCTTATTATAAGGACCCCAAAATAAGGTACCCCTTATTTTCGGAAACTCCCACATCGGAGGGGATAGGTTCGATGCAGGTTGAGGATTTGGGTCTACTGTAGGGCTTAGGGCTTTGGGGTTGAGGGCTTGGGGCTTAAAGTTGAGGTATTCTGCCGTAAGCTTTACACCCTATAAACCAGAAAACCCTAAACCCCTGGACCTGTTTGGTCCATCTACTGCCTGGTGCTTAGTAGGGAATGGGGGAATGGATCTCTATGACAGTCCCTTAAGGTCCCTTATAGTAGTCCCTATCACCCATTCCCCCATTCCCCTACTAAGCACCAGACAATCTACGGAGGGGGATAGGTTCGATGCAGGTTGAGGATATTCTGCCGTAAACTCTTATAAACCCTAAAGACCCTAAGCCCCTATAGGCCCCTAAACCCTAAACCCTAAACCCTAAACCCAAACCTTAAGCCCCAAATAAACCCCGTAGGCCCTAAACCCTAAACCCTTAACCCAAACCTTAAACCCCAAATTGGGGTTCAGGGTCGATGCGGGTCGCGGGTTCATGAGCCCTGAGGTTGGACCTTTAGGGCTTACCCATAGGCCCCATAGTAGTTCCTTCTTGTGGGCTTATATTTAGGGTTTAGGGTTTAGGGGTTAGGGTTCCTGTTTGTGGCTTATATTTAGGGTTTAGGGTTCCTTTTTGTGGCTTATATTTAGGATCCTATTAGGTAATCCCAAGAAGGAACTGTATACTATGGGGCCTATGGGTAAGGCCTGGAGTTTCGATCTTTATAGGTTTACAGGTTTTGTATCAGAGCTTAGCTTCTGGGTTTAGAGTTTAGGGTTTAGGGTTTAGGGCTGGAAGAGTATCTTAACTGGAACCACAGGCGACCGTAAATCGTTTTGAAATCGCCAGTAGCCTCTAGTCCAAGAGGGCACCTTCTTCTGCTAAATACTCGATGGGGGGAGAATAGACCCCAAATCCCTAACTCCAGTATAACTTTTTTTGGACTTTCTAAACCCTAAACCTTCATCCCTAAACCCTAAACCCTAAATTTCAAAAGCCAGATCCCGAAACGATATCTTTTGGTCTTTCTTTGCGTACCAAAGCACCTTCGGCCTAAAACTTTCAAGCGGAGTAATCAACCCAAAGCCCTAGAGCCATGAAGCCCTAAACCCTAGACCCTGAACCCCTATATGTATTTCACCCTAAACCCCCAAAGCCCTAAACCGCTCGGCTTTAGTATTTGTATTGGGCTAAGACCCAAACCCTCCGAAAGCTGGGATTTCGCAGGCAAAGGCAAGGTAGGGGTCTGAAAAGTTAAAATAGGTCTATAGGGTTTAGGGCTCTGGGTTTATCTGTAGTATGATATGCCCCCCAAAACATCCCATTCCAAAATTATGCAGGCCCTTACCTCCTAGACCCTTGTTTTGAACCCCGATTATAAGTAACCCTATCAAAGCTATTAAGGCTACTTTATCCTAAACACTCAGACCCCTAGATTCTAAATCACTTCGAGGCTCCCGTTTAAAGAGGCGAGTTCCTGCATCGGCACCCTCAGTGATTTGCATTGCCAGCTCCTGCCAGGCTAAACAAGCAGTTGTTTTGTTTAGGGCGTAGGCTTGGGTAAAAGTTTAAGGATTCAGGGGTCTTCAGGGTGATCGTTTTTTCAGCCCCAGGGAGCGCGGCAACGGCAAGGTAGTCTTTCACGCAAGCTGCGGTGCGGTCTACACACCAGGGATGTACGTAGGAGAATTGTGCAGTTTCCGATTGGGATTTGCAATTGCTGCGCAGCCTTTGCGCCTATTTGTGGACAGCGGGCCTCCACGCAGAGAAGCATCAGTGATCAACAATCCAATTTCCCGCTGCAGGTTCATCGGATGTAAGCAGCAACACGACTTGCAGCATACGGCCCCATAAGCCTGAAGCCCAAACTGTCGCTCTGTTTCCTAAAGTCACGGCCGCATCGTTTGCTTGCTTGTCAAAAGAGGAGGAGGCAACGGCAATTTCATGCAGCTCGCAGCGTGGTCGAGAGTCGAGATGGTGCTACTACATGAGAACTTCCTGTGAACTTCAAGCACTGTCAGCTGCCTACCCTTAGTGTTAGTACCCACGCTAGTAGGACGAGGCTTACGTACTGTGGTAGTACAAGCAGGAGTAGGAAGAGGAGGAGGAGGATCAGGAGGAGGAGGAGGAGGAGGTAGAGCAGACGGAACAATTGTGGTTCTTGCCGTCGTTGTGGTGGGGGTTGCAGTAAAGCTTTAATCGCAGTCCGCAGAGGAACGGCAAGAGAGGTCAGCGCAGCTTCGTCATCATCAAGAAAGACCTTCGTAGAAATCCGAAGGAAGATTCGACTATCGTGCGGGCAGTATGTCTTTGCTTTGAGCAAGCATCCAACTCCAGGCGTGTGCCGAGACAGTGGAAGCATGTGCTCTGGGCAGTACTGCCCAAACCGGCGGTTGTTCCAAAGTAGGCTTGGCTCCCGAAGGGAGCCCGCAATCCAAAGCTCAAAACCTAAACGCCTTCGGAGTAACCTACTTTGCAACGATCCCCGGAGATTCGTGGAAGGTGGTGAGTGTTCGCCACGGCACACGAGCTTGCAGCAACCCTGAGCCATGGAACTGCCGGAGTGAAGGTGCTTCAAAACGGCCTGTTCCGATCGCTAGCCTTTAATTGGCGCGTGCGGTTTACCGTTTAGGGTTTAGGGTATCAGGATTCTTGCAGGAACTTCCGTCTACCTCATCAGTGTGTGAAGTGTGGCAGTTATTAAAGCTATGGCTGCGATGCGATTATTCATGGACGGGTGCCTTTGTTACATCTTCGTGGTGAAGCCCTGTCACAGCCACACGTCCCACTAAACTCAGAGCACGTGTCCATAAGGGAGAAGTCTCATACACAAGCCTGAATCTGAATCCCCAGCTCGAACACTAGTAGTATTACTATTACTACTGTTATTACTATCATGATTCTTATTCTGATTCTTACTATTATTAATACTGTTTCTAGGGTTTAGCGGTTTAGGAGTTTAGGGTTTAGAGTTTCACATAGACCCAAATTTCTGGGTCGCCGGAGTCGGTTTTTGAGCTTCGCGATTTGGCGGTAGTGTGTGTAGGGTTTTGGGATATGGGGTAGTGGACAGTAAAGCTTAATGGGTCCAGGATTCAACCAGACATTATGCTGTAGGGTCTTGAAGCCCGAATCCAAATGCCCATATTTGATCCCTCCTTCCAGCCCAAGCGGCCAGACAGTCGACATGCATGCTCTTGAAACTGGACGCTGAACCCCTACTTAGACCCCGCCAACAGTAGCTGAAAGAACGGCCCAACACCTATAAAGGACTATTGTGCTACATATTTTCAGGACCCTAAAACCCTAAACCCTAAACCCTTCCAGGTAAGGCCCATGCACAGGTATGCCTTGGAGGACCTCCTGGCGCTTCCCGCGCCGGCCAGCGCCGAAGCCGAGGCAACAGTACACTCCTTAAAAGGGTTTAGGGTTTGGGGTTTAGGGTTTAGGGTTTGGGCGGTTTTGAGTTTAGGGTTTAGGGGTTTAAGGTTTAGGGTTTAAGGTTTAGGGTTCAGGGTTTGGGGTTTAGGGATGTAGAGTTTAGGGGTACAGGGTTTGGGATTTAAGGGTTTTTGGTTGAAGGGTTTAGGATTCCCTAGGAATTGAATCAGTTAATACGATGTCTGGGTCAGAGGGCGTACAGTGTGGCGTTCTGATGAAGTGTTGTGTATTACTTCTACATTCACGGGTAGACTAGGGTTTAGGCATACAGGGGCCTAATAAGGGCCGTATTAGGTCTTACAGGGTTCATGCTCTTCGTTCTTCAGGTTTTACCTATAGTCTCCATTGTAGTTCCTTTTGGGGGGTTATAAATCCTTCACATATAATTGGTTAAACCAAAAAAAGGAACCACAATGGAGACTATAGGTACAATGGTTCAGCGGATTTCAGGAACAGCATTGGGAGGTTCCACTCCGGATTTTGGGCTTATGTATTTCGATGAGTTTTGTCTTCGGGCCAAGGAGTATCAAGGCTTCGGCCATGGGATTTTAGGGTTCATTGCTGTCCCCAAACCCCAAACGCCAAACCCTAAACCCTAAACCCCTAAACCCCTAAACCCCTAAACCCTTAAACCCTAAGCCGTTTTGGGCTCCCTGTCGGTTTTTGTTCGGTTACTTTAGGCTGCAGGGTTCTCTTTGGGGCTTAGTGTTGGCTTAGGGTTTAGGGGTTTAGGGTTTAGGGCGTTTAGGGGCTCATTTCAAGGAAGGTGTATGCTTGGAGTCGTTTTGCAGTTGGGATTTTTAGGTTTAGGGTTCAATTTTCTTAAACGTGTTAAGGGTTCGTGTCTAAGTTGAGAGCACGCCTGTGAGCTCTGCTCGGTGAGTTCGACCTAGAAGCTTGACATGTTTGTCGTATTATGGGCCTTTGACGTGGACCGTAATGTAGCCGTTAACGATAGGCACCACAGCAATATAGGGGCTTGCATAATTACCAATACGATTTTGGGGATTCCTTATTGCAATTCTAGTATAATATGACCCTAAACCCTATTCTAATTATTAAGGTCCGACAGGCACCGCAGTCAAGTGTTTGTTTCGGATTTCGCAGGAGCCAGGCCTTATGCAAGGATGGAAAGCAGCCCTGCAGGATTTTGAGTGGTCTAGGTTGTTGTACCCACGGCTCCGCACGGTTTAGGGTTTACCCTAAACCCTAAACCCTAAACTTGAAACCCTGAAGTTAAATGCATGAGCCTCGTATATTTGGCGGCCGCAGCAGCACCCACATGCTGCAAAGGCCTTAGTCAGTGGCTTCCTGTCTGCTCCTCACAGCTTCACTGTTGGAATTCAGAAGTTTCTCCTAAGCCGCCAGCAGCCCTTGATTAAGAGCTGCATCATTCAAACCTAGATAGGGTATCCCTGATGAGCGGTTTGGGGCTGTTTGCATCGCAGGTTTAGGGTTCAAGGCGCAAGTAAAAGGGATCTCTACACCTAACCCTAAACCTAAACGTTAAGCCCTAAACCTCTACACCTGTAGACTCTGAGACGGTTCGGTAATCGCGCATGTGTATCCCAACCCTAAACGCTAAACCCTAAACCCTAAACCCTAAACCTAAACCCTAAACCCTAAACCTACACTGCTTGAGTCTGCCAGGTCAAACTTACGACCCCGTTGTCGAAAAACGTGACACTGAATGCTCCGCTTGTGGCGGCTCCTATGGACACGGTGACAGAGGAGGGCTCTTTCTGCTTTAGGGTTTAGGGCGCTTAGGGTTTTAGGGCATTTAGGGTTTTAGGGTTTAGGGTTTTAGGGTTTTAGGGTTTACGGCTTTAGGGTTTTAGGGTTTTGGGGTTTAGGGTATCGCGAGCTGTGCGAGCGCTAGAGAGATTTTTGCGACGTAGCGCTGTTTTGCTGTTGTAAAGCTTTGCAGCTGGTGCTTTCGGTATTGTCAATGGTGCAAGGTGTAGGCCCAGCTTTCCAAAATCTTCTATCATGGGGAATCGTAGTAATTTGATGGGGCTTCTTGATGAAAGATTTTATATATGGGAGTTTCAGAAAATTTGGGTACCTTATTTTGGGGTCCTTATAATAGGGATCCTATTATTTAGGCTGCTACAAAAGGGTCCCCTATTTTCGGAAACCCCCCCATATATCCAGGAGAGCCCTAAACCCTAAACCCTAAACCCTAAACCCTAAACCCTAAACCCTAAACCCTAAACCCTAAACCCTAAACCCAAGCCCCCTTCTTGAGGCCAGAGGTGGACCCCAAAAGCCTGAAGCCCCCAACCACAACGCACCAAACGCAGGCACCTTAAGCCCCAAACCAAAACCTCAAACCCCTAAACCCGATGTTTGCTAGTCTTTTGGTCTCGGGGTTACTTAGTAACCGTTACTACCTCAGCCTTTCAGGCGTTCTAACTGGATTGGCAGGCAGAAAAGAGGTCCCAAACAAACAAAAATAAACCCCACACCCTAAACACCAAATTTCCAAACCCTACACCCCAAACCCTAAACCCTAAACCCTAAACCCTAAACCCTAAACCGAAGCCCCCAGAACCTGAAAGAACCCGGAAGCCTCTGTGGCTCCTGCAGGCCCGCATGGCGATAGCATGCGCACTCATGGGCGGGATCGGCTGGGCGCCTGGGAAACTTAGGGCCTTTGGGTGTAGGGTTTAGGGATTTGGGTTTAGGGTTTAAGGTTAAGGGTTTAGGGGTTTAGGGTTTAGAGTTTAGGGTTTAGGGATTAGGGTTTAGGGTTTAGGGATTAGGGCATCGGGATACAGGTTCAGGTTCAGGGTTTGGGGCTTAGGGCTTCGGGTTCAGGTTCATGATGATCGTCATCATCAACAGTAAAGTAGGTCACTGGTTCAAACCCCTAAACCCTATATCCTAAACCCTAAACCCTAAACCCCTAAACCCTAAGCCCCTAAACCCCTAAACCCCAAACCCCTAAACCCTAAACCCCCAAACCCCTAAACCCTAAACCTCACGGAGGACAAGGGTGAAGAAAGGGATCACGTTGGAGACGGCGGGTTCCTGACGCAGGGGCCTGCATTAGGGCGTTGGGGCTTGGGGCTTGAAAGCTTTAGGGTTTTTTCTTAGGGGTTTAGGGTTCAGGTTTAGGGTTTAGGAGTTTAGGTTTTGGGGGTTAAGGATTTAGGGTTTAGGGGTTTTGGGTCTGATTTAGGGTTCAGGTTAAGGGTTTGGGGGCTTTAGTTTGGGTTTATTCTTCAGCATCATCGGACAGTTCATCTTCGGCATAGCCGCTGCGAAAAGTATCACGACTCCCGTATATGAGGCAGGGTGATGCTTAGCAGGACGGACTCTGTGTGTGTGTGGGTTTGCTTGTGTACGCTGGATTGACTTGAAGAAATATTCCCGTGCTGGCTGCATCGTGCTTGATCACATTGTCTTCCGACTGGTGCATGTGTCGTAGGAACATACTGATTCGATACTCGGAGTCTTACAGTACTTCAATGTTGGTGAAGCAGTTCCACTTTGCATGAGAGGTTTGAACTGTTGATTAGACTATCCGGTTACTGTTTTGCTCTTAGTATGAGCTACTCAAGCTTCTCGCCCTACTCGTATGCATTGTCAGTTGTTGTATCACTACCATGATATTGTCCGTTCATGGAAAACCTAAGCCCTAAACCCCCTTATAGTAGGTCGTGGTCTCCGTGAAGTTCTAGGATGCTTGCAACCGTCTTGAGCCTGAAATTCTGTACTTGTTCAGTGGTCTTGCTTGTGCACGATCCAGCCATTTAAGATTCTACTGGGGATAGCTTTGACGGTGTGATGTTTGACCCACTGTTGATGATCTAAATCCTGCTTTACCTTAAGGACCCAACTATGGGAATTATGATATGTATATTCCTTATTATGGGTCATGCAGGATTTTTCTCAGCGACCGTAGTTCAACCTTTCCAAGGTGTGATCCATTCCAACTGCTCTGCTGCGGAACAGGCGAAACAGGCCATTGGGGTTTAGGGGTTGAATATAGGGGCCTAAATAATTACCTATACAATTTTGGGGGTTCCTTTTTATATTTATGTTAAAATGTACCCCAAAGCCCTGTTCTAACTATTGAGGCCCCTACATTATCCGGACATCTGAGAGTTTTGGGAATTTGGGGAGGTGAGCTCTTCAGCGTGGGCTTTTCAGCAACCACCCTGTACCCTGGAGTCCGTTGAGCAGTGGACCAGGACCCTCGACCCTCACCTGCCGAGCCTTAGGGTTTAGGGATTAGAGTTTTAGGGTTTAGGGTTTAGGGTTGTAGATATTACACGTGTAAACTAT